CAAGAGCCAGTGACTGAAAACAGGGGCTGGAAAGTGCCCTTCGGGACCTGTTCTCTGCTTTCCCGACTGCACCTTTCTCTACACACCCCCCTCCCAGTCTCCCAGCTCACCTGCCGCTTGGCCTGCAGTTACCTGTCCTGCCCGTGTCAGAAGGCACTGACCGAGTCGTTCCTCTCCCGACACACCTGAGTCAAGTCCCTCGGACACAGTCGAGTCCAGCTTTCTAGGGGAGAGGTCAGCAAGAACATGGTCTCCTATTAAATGGGCCGGCGTTGACTTTGACTCCTGGACGCCTTATTGTAAAAGGCTCCAGGTTCCGCTCATGTGGCCCACGCCTGCGCTTCGGGCTGCGCCTCTGCCTCTGTCCCCCGCACATCTGGGCTGCTCCTTCCACGGAGATCCTGGCCCAGTTCCATCTCGCCACCTTATGAGTCTTTCGTGCTTTTGAGAAAAATGTTAAGCATATTTTATACAGTAATTTTAGGGTTTTTAGGGAACCGGTAGGTCAAAATAAGCCAGCCTGCCATATTGCCAACTTTGGTGAGCTCTATAAAATTCCCATAATCGTGGTTTATGACGTTGACCTTGGGTCGTGTTGCCATAATTCCCACAATTTTGTCAGGCGTGGGTCTCCATCGAAAGGATTCGGCATCCCTCCTGCCACGCACCCTGTCCCTTCCTGGCGGGCCGGCGTCCGTTCTGTCCCGACTGGTTGCTCCCCGACTCCGCATGTCCGAAGACTTCCGGCTTTTGCTTTACTCCCTTCGGCGACAGTTCGGGCATCAGGTTCATGGACCACACTTTCCTTCCCCCGAAACTCGGACACGCGTGCTGCCTCAGCCTGCTCTGGAGGGATCAGACGCCGTTTTTATCTTTCACTCGTGACTTATTCGGGTCCGGATACTGCTCACGATGCCGCATGAAGTCCGGGAGCTTTAACAGGTTACGACTTAACACTGGAGCGTCCGGTTCATTTCCCCAGGGAACGGTGGGTCCCTTCGGTCCAGAGCTTTGGCTCCCTTTGCAAATCCATTCTCGGTGTGTTTTTCTATCCTCGCTCGCTCAGCTCCCTTCAGTGATACCATTTAAGTATATGTTGCATCACCTTTGTCTGTGGTCTTTATGTGGCATGTACTGCCCAGCCCCGTTGGACTCTTTCGAGCAGGACCCCGTAGCCTTGACTGGGTTCAGGACTATCTTCTCCTTGTTTTCGTCACCGTTTCTTTTCTTCCCCTTTGCCCTTGACTTTGGCCGGCTCCCTTTAAGGAACACACCTTTTCAGGGTGGATTCGTAGTCTTTCTGTTTATCACGGTTTCTTTCTTGCTTTTCCTTTCAGTACTTTTGTTGAGTGTGTCTAAACTTCTCCTTCAAGGAGGGGAGGTCCTCCTAGAGGTCCAGTTGCAGGACAGTTAGGGGCCAGGCCAGGCCAGTGCTCAGGGCCAGCTCCAAGTCGCCAGGCTTACGGGGCACGTGGGACAGAGGGCTGGGAGGGACGAGGTGGCCTGGCCTCCCCACATTCTGCCAGCTCCCTCTCCGTGGCTCCAGGTCGCACAGACGGCGTGGCCGCCTGCTCGTTCAGCCCCGCCGCACCGTGCCACCTGCTCGCCCCCGCTCCGGTTGCAGGCCGGGTGGCTGGTGACCCCGTGCTCTGCCAAGCTGGCCACGGCAGGCAGACCTTCCCCCGGTGTCCCCTCCACTAGCCCGCGGGGCGCTCTGCAACCCTTTCACACTTACCTGTCTGGGGTTTTGAGTTTTCCTCAGAGATGGAGTTTTGCTCCTTTGTGTGCGTGTTCTTTACAGTACTCAGGTCGTTTCAGAAAGAAGAGGCCAGGGACATCTGACGGCCAGGTGCAAAAGTGTTCTTTTAAGAGAGCGGAGTGGTCAAGACCCTGCTTTTTCTGAATAAAGAACATGGAGAATTTGAGGCATTTCTCTGAGAACGGGTCGCCCTGGGTGTTCCCGCCTGGGGTAGAGGCGGCTGCACGTGGGTAACGAGCGACGTTTATACTCCCCGGCCCTGCATGAGCTCGTCGGGGTGTCTGCGGCCACTTCCTGGGAGAACACCCCGTCTCCCCGCGGTCTCTCTGGGGGAGCAGGATGCATTCAATCTGGCTTATTTCGCGGAGTAGATAAGAATTGAGAATTCCTTATGATGGAGGTCAAGGCAAAGGGCTATATTTGGATTCAAAATTTCGTTCCCAGGCCTCCATAAAATTTGAACTATGTGGCTATTGCTCCGACATGAGCAGAAACTGGAGAAACGGGACAACTCTGACGATTGGTAGAGTTGGTATCTTGATTTTTCTCCAATATCTAGAAGTTGAAGAGGGAGAGGAAGGGGGGTCTGAATTCCTCGTTTTCTGGTTCAAAATGAAAACAGCCCTAGGCGCGTGTACTGGGTGTGAGCGACCGGCCTGGGGTCATTTCTCAGCTCTCCACCGACGACTGTGCGGCTGCGCTCGGACTTTGCAAAGGCGGCGTGCAAAGCGACGCCCGGGAGGGAGTGTGGCAAGTCTGTCCCTCCGTGTGCAGCCGCCGCTGCTTCCCAGGTGTTCCCGGGCCGCGCGCCCCCGCGTCTCGCATCTGCGAAGTGAGGTCATCACCCTCCTCTGCACCGCTGTGCCATGCTGTCCCAGCGAGGCCGGCAGGAAGCTGGCGTCTTACCTAGGCAGCATCTGTGACCCCCAAGTTCAAAGTCAGAACTTGCGATCGACATCTCGACTCTTTGGGCTTTTTTCACGATGGTGACCATATAATTTATCATCTAAACCAGGACACGTCTGAGAGAGTATGATTAATAATCAAACAGGGCCATAGACGAAAGCTGGGAACGGCCCAGGCAAACCCAAGTGAGTGATGGGCCGAGCTAATGATCGCCTACGTCTCCATGATAAATCCGAGTACATCGTGGCTATACTGTAACGCGTGTCTCACTTTTTCTCCAGAGTTGCAATAAAGACCTAACCTTATCTTTATTGCCAAGACTAGATACTTATTCGTGCTTAACAGCAAAACTAGCATCATTTAGTAATGAATTATTTAACCTTCGAAGTCTTTCAGTTTTATGGGTGCCTACGTTCATTTTCGTTTGACACTCATGCCTTGCTCGTAGTTTTCTGCCACCTTACAGGGGATGGAGCTTGGTTTATTGCCATGGTTTATCACCCAGAGTTTGTGGGCAGGGTCACAATACTCATAGGTGGTAAATTTCCTCCATCGGTAACAGGACACTGTGCGCCAGGCCCCAGGCTGAGGGCTTTGCTTAGGTACAGAAATGTACAGTAATATCTCACTTAAGCCTCACACCAACCCCAGGGGGAGGTGCCACTGGGATCCCCTAGAAGGAATCAGGAGCGCGTGCGTGCGTGCGGAGCTGACTGTGCCAGCAGGCTGACTTCAGTCCCCATCCTCCTGGAGTCATCATTCCATGGTCTCTTCCTAGTTAAGGAATTCGTTCCATTTTATATCCCGCAGCCTGTTAACATCTCCTTTCATGAGAAGTGACGTAGAAGTGTCACCTTCTAGTCTGTCCCTTGTTCAGTGGCTCTTCTCAGCCCACTGTGCCCACGGCTTCAGTGTGGCGTACCTGCCACGCAGCCGTGGTTCACAAACTCCTGTGGTAGCGTCCTTTGCGTCACAAAGGTCTGTGAAATGCTAATCATCCTGTCGCGTCCTTTCGACCGAGCTTCGATTGCCCAGGAAATGTGATTTTCGGGGGTACTTGCTGTGAGAAACGCGAGTGTTTTAAAATTGTCATGAGTGCTCCTGGGTGCGTGGACTGTGGACTCCTACGACGGTGGGTCCGATCGGTGGCTTCTTAGGGCGTCCTGTCGCCCCCACGGTTCCAACACCACTTCCTGCAGACTCTGTGCATTCGTGAGGCCCCAAGGACCAGAGCCCTGTCAACACTGCCTGACTTCCCAGCCCGTCCCCAGAGAACCCCCTCCCACGGGGGTCCGGGGAGGGGCCCCACGATAACAAGGGACTTGTGGTTTTACTGTTATGCTGCTGCTGTCATTTTTCTCATATTTTCGTTAAGCATGCTATAATTTGTGACGTGAGGGAATGCTGATGTTGTTAAGAATTGCTATCTGCGTTCTGGGAGCTTCCTGTGCATTATTTTATTTAGTCTGCATGACACTGCTGTCAGGTAGGCCTCGTTTTCTATTTACGGAGGGAGAGATGGAGGGGTCAGAGGGGTCGGGTGACTTGCATGAGTCCCGAAGCATTGGTCTGGGGTAAAACTCAAAGTAGAAACACTCCCAAGTTCAAGTTTGCCCTTCATGCTTTTCTACTGCTGGCTACCTAGCTGGTCTCTGGTCAGAGTCACACCGTCCCTCTGACTGCTGTGCCTCGGGTTTTCCTTCCGGGCATCCTTTGCCAGGTGAGTCTGTGATTCTGTGAACCAATGATGAGAAAGCATCGCACTGAGCTATCTGGACCTGTGCCTGGCACGCCGACCCTACGCTGGTGGGTGGTGACCGTCCTTGTTGGCTGATCCACACTTGAACGAGTTCTGATACAGATTCTGGGAAATCTGAAGAAATGAATGTGATGTTTAAAAAGATTTTCACTAACTCCTCATCTTAGGCCTTTACAAATTGAAAAGAAGCCCAAGTTTGTTTCCTCTGGGCAGCATTGACCCAGAAATGCCAGCATCGACCAGCTGTGCTCCCAAGGCCGGGGAATGACATGGCATCTGAAGACCCACATTTGAGTGTCTGGCACTACATGATGCCCTGGATAAATCTTTCAAATGTTAGAGAAAATTTTGGCAGGAAGATGATCAACAATGGTCCACCCTGTCGCCCACCACCGCCACCTCCCCCTGGACGGTGAGAGGTCTGTACTCAGAAAGGTGACTCAGGAAATAAGACCTGTGCCACGGAGCAGCTTACTGTTCTCCACGTCCCACTTTTCAGGGGCTTCTGACGGCTCCTGAGGTCAGTGTCAGTTCACAGAGCCGGTTGATCACACATAATCTCGTGGTTCATTGCAGGGAACTCGTAAGCCAGACCCTCCTCAGAAGCCTCTGCCTGCCAACCCTCTGAGCAAGACGACCCGCCTCGCCAGTGCCTTGGCCAGGACCCCAGAACAGCAGGCGTCTGGGCTCCGCCTGGTGCCTCTCAGGTGAGTGTGACGCAGCCATGCCCATCTCTCCCCCAAACTGTGTGGGGCAGCTACATCAAGCCATGCTTTTCAGACCATGCCAAGACAGGGGTGTGGTGGTCTAGGCCATGCTTCCTGCACCCCCACACCTGGGAATAATATAAAATAGATACAGGGCAGCTATAAAAATAACCAGGAGGCATTCGTGAGCTTACAATCACAGGTGTCACCATGTAGCTCTTAGCGACAGCCCCACTGTACCTAAGGAAACAAAGTGAGATCCGATAAAACTAGACAGCGTACCCTGGAAAGCTGAGACAGGCCACGCCGTGTCTCCCCAAGAGACCAAGAAAAGCTACCGAGTGGTATGACATGATGGAGTCTGGACACACGTCTCGCATGGACCCCGCCCAAGCCCGGGGCCCTGAGGAGCGAGGTGGGGTCGGAGGGCCACAGACGGAACGAGGGGACACAGGGAGGGCGGCGTAACTGGGCACCGCTCGGTACAGCTCACGAAGGAATCGCCCCACAGACCTTCTCGCAGCTGCGGCCCTCCCGCACGCTGTCCCACGGAGGACGGCAGGGCCCCGCCCGAGCCCCGACGCAGTGCTGGAGCCAGCCACACTGTCCCCGAGAGCCCTTCCACTTCAGGGCATTTCGCCAGCCGGTGCTACACCCAGCCACTGTTCAAAGTTTAAGTCGTATACTTATAATGATAAAGTTACGTTTAAAAACAAAAGTAATTAATGCCCCAAACACCTTTTTTTTTTCTTAACTACATTTTACTATTTCCTGTGCTATTGCAGTTACCCGCATCAATTACTTCTGTGTGGTGGAAAACGACGTGATGGTGGCTGCTGGCCACCTCGTCCCCACGCAGCCAGGGTGTTTGCCCCGTGAAAACAGGCGAACGCTACAGATCAGGCCCCTCCCTCCCCACAGGGGGAAGTTAGCACAGGGATGGGTTAAACCCTCGGCCAAAACACGCTTCTGACAACAGCGGGAAGCTTTTTTTGTGAGCTCAGAAGAGCCGAAGGTGGCAGGTCGGCCGGGCCCGGGTTCCATAAGTCAGCCTCTCTGAAGGGGACAGGCACACTTTCGTGACCTCGTTACAGCTTTGGGGAAACACGCTCAGCCTGCGAGAGCGCGCTGCGTGATAAATCTCAGAGACAGCGCCGGTCAGAGGGCGAGGACAGTGGTCTGGTGCAGAAAAAGCACAGAGCATCCTGATGACATCATCGCGGTTCGTATGCGGGTCGTGAAGTGAACTTTTCTTGTTCAAAAGAAAAAGCTCTGCTTCGCAGGGCCAGGACCAGGAGACGGCCCTCAAGCAGTGGCAGGCCTCATCTCTGCCAGTGGCCGACACCAGGGCCAGCCGGGTTTGGTCTTGTCCTGGAAGGAGAAGAACGCTCTGCACATTCACTTTTGAGGGGCCCCCCGTGCCCGGCTTTGCTCCCCGGAACTGCACTGCCCACCTCAGCAGCCACAGGCACATGAGATATGCTGTCCGTGCAGATACACGCAGGAGTCTGAAGACCTCGTACTCGAAAACGTCAACTCTCAATAACTTTTTTACGTCGAACTATGACCACTCTCGATGGATTGGGTTAGATGAAATTTATTCCTGAAGTCAGTTTCATCTATTTCCGTTTTACTGTTTCCATGGGGCTACTAGAAGACATTAAATCTCACCTGCCCCCGCTTCCCGCCCCCACCCCGTCACGGTTCTGTGGGGCGGTACCCTGGTAGGCTCCGCGGGTGGATGGGAGAGACGGCTGTGGGGAGGGCGCCCCTAGTGGCCAGACGTCAGGCCACTGAGAATCCCGCCCGTGTCCCCTCGGCCCCCAGCGTGAAGGGACCTGGTCCTGGAGGTGCCGCGGAGTGCAGGAAAAGCCGTCCCAGGCATCCGCACCCACAGGTACCGCTCTCGAGGCCTCTAACTGCGGTTCTGTTTTCTCCCCTGGATGCAGAGCCGCCCCCGAATGTCCGCGCCCAGGGCCCAGGGCCACCCACGTCGCCTACGCTAAGTGAGAAGAAAGCCGACGCTTTTCAGCAGTGAAGACAGAAGTTTGCACTATCTTTCAACTCCAGGTGGAGTTAGTTATTTTTTGTACCAACTCCTAGAATTTTTCTAATGTTTAAAACACCATTATTTTAAGAACTCTGAGCTGCTGCCGTCGGTGCTGTGCTGTGCTATGGTGCTCTGTGTACTCGCTCAGGTACTTGTAAATTATTAATTTATGCAGAACGCTTGTTACGGTGCAGTGCGCTGTGTGGGTGTTTTACCATCACTGAGTTTCCCATGGAAGGAAGGCTTCTTGTGCTTCTGATAGCTTAGTGAACTTGAAATAGCATACTATGTGGGATTCTGGACAGGATGTTTACTTTTCGATCGAGGCTTTATTGGAGAGAAGGCCCCCAACTACCTAGGGCTGTGGTTACGGTACCAGACACAGCTCAAGAGACCCCAGGGAGAACCTTGACTTATTTTCCGGGACCCCTCATCTCAGGCCAGGAGCCTCTGGTCCAGACTGTGCTTGGCCTTCAGGGGGACCCTGGGCCCTGTCACAGCGGACAGGCTGGCCCACCAGGGGCTACACCGTGAAGCTCCAGGATAGCAGAGAAGGGTCTGGCTTCCGGTTGGGAAGCTTGGGAGAGAACCTGCGTTTCAGAAAAGAGTTGTAAGGCGTGGCTACACCAGGATAGAGACTGCAACACGAGGCTGGGCAGCAACTTCACCTTGAGCTTGCCAGCCTTGAGCGTATTTGGAGAGCAGGCGAAAAAAGCCTGCCTTATAGAAACACCAAGGACCTCTTTTCCCGGCTGCCCTTTACAGAGTGCTGGCATCGGCACCTCGTTTTCATTAGGAAGGGTGCTGATTCCACAAGCGCATTACTGCCCAGGCGCTGCAAACCTGCCCGGGCTGTTTGGGGCTAAGCAAATCACCACCTCATCTTCTCCGCTTTAATGCAATGATCCTGTGTGCAGACAGAGAGATGAGGCTTTCCATGGGACCATAACCATTTTCAGATGTTTACCAGTAACCAGATCTAGAGAATCAATTCTGTAGATAAAAATCTCCCTTTATCGCAAGATTCAACTTATTATCAATTAGCGGAATCCCTATGCTTGCAAAAGCTGCCACCAAACGGAATGCTCTCTTCCCTGGTACCAGCTACGTCTGCTGTCCTTATTGGTTAGTGCACATTGGACAAAGAGCCATAAGTGTAGCTAGTAAGTTCTTTTGGGGCATCCCATTTTCCCAGCTTGGCTGCAGGAATTTTTAAAAGGTGTTTTTAGCATAAAGTTCGAATCTGTTACACACTTGCAACCTACCTGTTGGGCGTCGCAGACTGTGATAATCAATTTACTGATCCTAAATGTTCACGAAATGCCGTCTGAAGCATGGGCTCCTTCAAATGTCTGACTGGAGAGCCATTTTCACAAGCAGGTCTTAAAGACACTTATCTCTAATGGCATGAAAAGGACAAAACACAAGAGCAATGCCATTATGTCTCTGTCTTCTGATGGGGTCACGTGTGACTAGTTTTTACATTAGAAGGCAATTGCCAGCAGTTCCATAATTCACTCTGTTTTATGACAAAGATTTCGTCTGGGTTCACATCGATGGTTTTTCTATGCCTTGAAGCAGAGAGACAAAGCGTACCAAGAAGAACCTTGGTTTGCTGTCCAGAAAACAAGACTGCATTTAACTGTCCCTGTGTTCCCCACCACACCCAGGCAACAGCCTTCAGGGTCATGGATAAACTAAGCCAGCCCACCTCACAAACACACACGAAAGGGGATCCAGCTCTAATACATTCCAACTCGTATAGCATGCATCTGTTTATTATGCAGTTATTAACTCTTTAAAAGCGCAAAGCCACGTCAGAGAATGTCACTGTCTGTGAGCATGTACAGAATGACTGTGATCACTGTCACACATGGTAATTGTATTAAGGCCAAAACATATACTGTTGAAAAGTTTACAGAATTTTTATGGTGCATTGTGTGGGTACTGTCTTTGCAGATGCCCAAATCCTTAGACCTGGCATTTTAGCCCCTTCCTTCCCATTGCGGGGAAGAGGATGTGAACTCTTTTCTCGTCTGTCCTTAGCTAGAATTCCTGTGCTTCTATTTCAGAGAACCAGGAATAGTTGGATATTAAAGGAGGTTAATGCTGTGATCTCACACCATGTCATCGATGGCCACTTAAAGGCTGCAGCTGATGACACATTCCTATCTCTACAGTACTAATTGCTTTCATAGAGCCATGCAATGTATTTCTGGGTAAGAACATATTTAATACTAATATCCCCTTGAAATACACAGACCATATTAAAGGAACAAGATGCAGTATTTATCAAATGAAGTATATTTAGCAATAACTTTCATATTCACATAACTTAAGAGAGGAACCAATAGCCAGGTTTTTGGGGGGAGAGATTCCTCTTTTTATATTCTCACAGATGATGGAAACAAAAATCAATACTCATATTTCAATGGCAGCCTATTTTTAATATTGTTTAAAATTGTATAGGCCTGAATAATAGAGTTGAATTGAGTTTATATGGCCGTCACTGAGAAAGCCAATGTGTTTAGACACAAAGTAGGCCCTGAACGTCATCACTTCTTTGTCTTATTAGAGTTGTAGGTTTTATGACCCCACTTTACTGGGATGTATATGGCTAATCTTCCAGGCATTCTATTTAAAACTATCTCCTGAAATTTTTTGTAACAGTTTGTTTTCCTGACACATGGAATCAGATGTGTAGCAACGAAGAGAAACAATGCATAACATTTTCCATTGTCAAAATATGCACACAGAGATTACACTTCCCAGTGTGAATTTTTCCAACTTACACACATGTGGGGTGACATCACAGAAACCACAAAAGCAACAAATTACACTACATGAGAATAAAAACTCCTGACTAGTCTCCGAGGGGACATTTTCATGCCTTCTTAACTTTATGAGGAATTCTCAGGCTGAAACCAGAGGCCATTGTTCTCTGGCACACCAATAAGCACATCCGTGTAACCCCAGAAAGAAAACAGCTAAAACTCCGACCTGTGTCAGACTGTTCCCAGAGCCTATGATCTTCCCTGGTGGTAGAGAGCCCGGTGCCGGGCCAGCTGGGATGCCCGAGCCCCTGCCTGCCATCTCTCGATCACGTTTACTGAGCGCTCTGAGCCAATGAGACCTGAACACTGAACGGGCATGGTGCCTGGGCAGCTGGGCGCGATGGTTGTCCGCGACCTCGCCCCTTTGCAGTCTTTCCTCGTGAGGCTATTGCATTTCAAACTTTTGCTGTGGAGGGCTCCCCTGGGTGTTCTAGGAGCAGGAAGCCCAGGGCGGACTTGGCCTAGAGACCCTTCCCCACTGCTATCAAAACGACCCCAGGCAAACTCAAGTGACCCAGACAACAGTACCCCAACCCTGCCTAGAAGTTTCCCAATGCCAAGGCTGCCCCCAGGTGTGACTCTCAGGCTATGGCTTTCGCACACTGTGGCTGGCTAGTGGGGGACATTGCAGGTACCATCTTTTCTGCTCCCCAACATAGAGGCCGGCCCTAGGCTGCCACCGTTATTCATCACGACTCTTGCGCAGGCCCGCACATCCATCTGGTCACAGGAAGCCAAAGCTAATGCATCTATTTGCCTGTCTAGCAGCCAGACACAAGCGCCTTTCCCAAGCCTATGCCAGTGCCTCTCCAATCCGACAGATCTGCGCGTTCATAGCACCTTCAGGTCAGCCAGAGTGGTGATGCCGTAGCGTGTGGCTGCCCCCACAAGTCCACCTGCTGGATGCCTGGAGCCCAGCCCTTCTCCAGAGCGATCCCACCAGCCCTGCATTGAGCAGAGTCCCTCCCACTGGCACGTCACCCCACAGAAGGGGGAGCCAGCCATAGAAAATTAGTATCTCTCTGATTGCAAAATGCTCCTGCCTCGCCCTACCGTTCCCATTGGCATCTGTTTCTTTTAAGCCTAGTGGAAAACTCAGAGCGATACAAGTAACACGCTGTAACAGACTTGCGAGCCCCAGGCCAAGGGCCACTTCTGTGCAGTGAGGGTGCTCCCAGAAGCCATGGGCCTACACCCGAATGAGCTGCTTCCTGCCTTTCATGAAGAAGATCCCTTCTTTACTTTGGGGACAGCAATGGCAGCTTACGGTCCAGCCATTAAGAGCCTGTTTCCTCTGAGAAACACTAGAAGAAACAGTACATGTAAAATTGTTGTGATAGTCAATGGCGGATAGTGAGGACCAGAAAACTTGACACACAGGTAAAGAAACTCTCAGCGCGATTCGGCCCCTCCAGGCTAAACATTCTCTAACCACCCGATCTTTCATGTCCTCCATCCTCCCACGATTCTCCTTCCATAAAATAACCTTCAGTCTTCAGCGTAGCACATTTTAAATCCAGACAAAAAGAATAAATGTCACGTGGTCATTTCAGTCCTACAAAGAAGCGGAGTGACGTGTTTGTGGCCTGTAAACAGGTACTTAGGCCGGGCAGTGCTAGAAAAAATATTGCAAATTAGAAAGACAGGAAATCCTCCAAGCGTCCATGGCGGGACAAGCAGTGGCAGAGCCAATGTTCTCTTACACCTTCCGTCAGGTCAGGTCAAACTCGGGGGGGCGCTGTGGGGAAGGCCCACTGTTTGCGTGTGGCAACGCGACGTGACATAACTTTAGAACTTGGCTGCGGGCTACTCGGCACAGTACAAAGTTAGAGCTTCTAAACCAGCACATTCATTTCACAGTGCTTCGTCCACTCGCGCTGCTTCGGTTTGCTCATTTTTGTTCCACATGCCTTTTTATTTACAGTCCCTCACTTTTGTACACGTTTCTCGTCCTGGGGTTCTCCGGGTAGCACAACCTGCTACTTCCATAGAAAAAGTCATTGTTAAGAATATTATATCGAATAAATGGTATACAGGTAACTCTACAAAGATGTGTCTCATTCATCGCTGAGAATGTCACAGAGATGGGGAGGGGGACCCTCATGTAGAAAAACGTGTCTGCATTCCCATTCATGGGCCCATTAGGACATTTTAGGACAGTACACAAGAAGCTAAGAAGAATGGGGAGCTGGGGATCGGGGACACGTGCTGCCGTCTGCATGAACCAGTCAGATGACAGGACGAGAGGGATGAGAAAGCCATTTCACACACTCGCACGGTGCGGGGAGGGGCAAACCTGATTTCGTTTTGAACACCGTGAATGCACAGCCCATCAAAGTAAATGTTTTTAAACTCACCTTATTTACAGAAGAGATAAATTCAAAAAGCAAGCAAGCAGCGGTAGAAACGTTCACATCAGACTCATCCGGAATGAAAATCTAAGCATAATAGAAATTTATTTACAATTTAAAAAATTAGCATCCGACTTCATAAAACAGTGAAGTGAATGCAAAGAATAAGAGACACACAGAACAGTAACGACGTCTATGATCTTACCGCCCACCGCCCATGACAAAGGGGCAAAAATCACGTATACAGAAGGCCTCAGACATGGTTCATGATGTAGGTCAAATAGAATATATCAAATGGAATACTTCAAATGCGCAGAACATACCTTCTTTCAAAGGACCCCTGGGGAAAAATACGTGTGCGTGTGTGTGTGTATATATGGAATCTCATATATGAAACCAGAAAAATAAACTCAAATTCCAAATGCTACCAATTCTCAAGATTATAATACAATAAAAGTAGAAAAGTAGTTCTCTGCCCTAGGAACGGAATGATTCTTGAGTCAAAGACAAACTTCAGGGTGTCTAGCAAATAGCACAGGAAGCCATGGGAAATCACGCACGCCATGGCTGGGCTAATCAGACGCCGCGAACTTTGCGAACTCACCTGGGACGCTTGTTAAAATCCATTGTTTATGTCCTTCCCGTGGAGATTTCGGTTTCGAGGGTGTGAGATGGGGCCTAGAGATCTGCATTTAAGAGAACTCCCAAATTGGTCTTTTCATCGGGAAAGTTTAGGAAACTTCTTGTGGGAATATAGCGAATGCAGTGCTGAGGAGAAAATTCGTAACCCGAAAGTCGCGGGTTAAACAGAAAAAGATAAAAATGAATTTATTCGCCAACCTAAAAAGTTACAAAAAGGAATAAAGAAGGAATGAATTTGTAGAAATAAAAAGTATAAATTAATTGGAAAAAGTAAAACTAATGAAACCATCGGTAGCTTCTTTGGGAAAATTAAAACACAAGATAAAACCACCAACTAATCAGAAAAAAAAAAAAAAGATAAAAAGCAAATACACATAGCTCATCCCTCTCGTCCCAGGCCACCATAACACCTTGAGATTGTCTCGGGAATGTAAGGATGGCTCAATGTTTTAAAATCGAAGTTGCCAAATTAATAGATTGTAGGGATAGGTGCCGTGATGACCAGCAATGCCAAAAAGACATTTGAAAAAATTCAGTATCCATTCCTGAGTTTTTAAAAATCTGAATAAAATAAGACTGGAAACCACAGGACTTGAGACATGTTAGTGTCATTTGTGGAAAATGAACTTCACAGATATATGACAGGACCCTATAAGCAGTCATTTGGGGCTAAGTTATACTGCAGTAATAAGCCATGCTTAAATTTCAGTGACTTACAGCATGAAAGGGTTATTTCCTGCTCACAGGACATGTCCATTGGGTGACCCTTGGGTCTTCTGTCCGGATCCTGAGCTGATGGAACAGCCTCTGCCTCAGCCACGGCCGGTCTTGTGCCAGAGGGAGGAGAGACGTGGGGATTCTTAGAACTTCTGCTCAGAGGGGCGGCAGCCATTTCCACGCACGTTTCGTTGACCAAAGTCAGCCCCCTCAGCTGGCTGAGACTCCACGTGAGATGAGATGATGCTGTCAAGCCCTCGTCAGCGAGGAGGGATGAGCCGCTTCCCACAAAGGAGGCTCGTGAATCAGATCTACGGCAGACGGAGAAACGAGATTAAGGTGAATGTTCACGCCGATCGTGGCGGGGGGCCCTTGCAAAGCTGTGACCGTGCTCTGACTTTTAGAGAGATTTAAACAATCAAGTCCAGCCAGTTTAAAGGGTTACGCATTTGTACGAAAGGTAAAACGCTAATGAAGTATCGAAGGAGGGCTAAATAGGACCCACAAATCTAATCCTTTAGGCGGACGCTCTGTAAACTGTGCGGAATAAAGCCGAGCGCTGCCAGCACCGGTTAGACTGCGTGCTCGTTCTCCGTGTCCTTCCCACGTGCGTTGGCACCCTCGTTGCCTTTTAACCGGGCCGTCCGTACAGAGAACTCTGGACCCCCATGCAGGCCACTCTAGCCGGCCTTCTCATGGGGTCGAGTTCACGAGCTTGTCCCTGGAGACACACGATGCACGTGGTCTGCTAGCTCACCTTGCTGGCTTTTAGGTGTGTCTACTGAGTTCCCCCACATTTGTGTCTAAGCTCCCAACCGGTAGACCTCGCCACGGTTAATTCCTCCTTGTCTCTGATCTGCGTGATCAGCATCAAAACCCTTTCTGCTCAGAAGGCAAAATTCAACCCTCCGCTCTTTGGCGAAGCGGCCAGCAAGCCGGTCTCTCGTCAGGACCGACGTGTGTGCAAACACAGTCTCAGACAGGTCTGTCCGCACAGACTGAACCTCCCCCAGACGCCCCTAACAGAGAGACATCAGACTCTTGAAATATGTATTTTGCGCTTTGATGTGAGGCCAGCAGCTGAAAACTTTGCACAGGGCCTCCTGGGCTTTCGGGAGGAGTGTCACTCCGGGAGGGAGCACCAGCTCGACAACACCACCCGGAAGGCCTGAGTCGGGAGGGGAGGACGTAATTGAAAACACATGAGGGAAAGGACGTCCACAAGGTCCTGGAGTGGCTCAGAGGACAACTCGGGGGGCAGGAGCGGGCAGGGGGAGACCCGTGTATGTTTGTGCAGCTCCAGGACATAAATATTTTGTTTCGTGTCTAACTTCGAAAGGCACAAGTGCAAGCAAACATCGTCACCCTGCAGACACCCAGTGACGACACCACAGCCACACGTGCTTAGGTAAAAAGATCTATTTCAAAGAGGGGAACGGTTGTGTGTTACAAAAAGTCACCATGAATCTTCAACTAAATAAATAAATGCACAGCCCTCAGAGAGGCAGCGTTTCATCTCTCCAGCTCCACGGTCACGTTCTGCTCCGTGTCCCTTGGCCTCCGGAGAGAAGCTGTGCCCGGGTCAGCAGACAGAGAGCAACGGCGACTTCTCAGGCATCTGCTCTCTCTCTTCTTCTCTTCCAGTAAGGAGACTACGTTCTAGATAAACAAAAACAGGTGAATGTAATCCCAGGGTTTGGACTGCTTTACTTTTTTTTTTTTTTTCCAAGTACTATAAAATGAGCCTGGAAATGCAGAAAAAACATCCCAACCTGTCTGTCAAAAACTCTGGCCATTTCGAGGACGCCCTTGCCGAACTGAAAGAGAAAACAACAGGAATTATATGATTTATGTAAACGCATGTATGTTTCTTCTTCTACTCCAGGGAAAAGCTTTAAGGAGAGATTGAGCTATTTACCTCGTTTTTTACACTTGCATCTGCCCCTTTCTCAAGAAGTAACTGGACCAACTCTTCGTGATTATTTAACACGGCCACCTAAAAAAACAGAAGCCAGGGCGTGTGGGTGCCCAACTCCCTCCCACACAGGGCGCGGGCAGAACACCCGCCCAGCACTGCCCGCGGAGGGCAGAGGGCCCGGTGACTGCGCGACAGGCATGTGTACTCTCGCTCTGTGGCGGTGACAACTGCAGGGACGACAAACGGAACCTGCCTTTCTGCCCACCAAGTGACATGAGAAATGCTAGTCTGGGACAGTCCAGGGAGCAGAGCTTTCTCTGTATGAGCAGATCTGTTTTGGTCCTGCAATGGCCTTGGGGGCTGGGGTTGGAATTATTAAAGAAATAATTGTAAAAATGGCAGCAAAAATATTATGGTGACATCATCATGCCTCTCCTAACAGGCCGGAGGGGAATCCACATACAACCAAAATCCGGGGCTCCCACAGCCGACGAGCTCCCGAGAAGTGCCTGACTGCACAGGAAGCCCCGCCCTCGCGCCTCACGTGCCGCCAGGCTGCTGTCTGGACTAAGGCCTACCATGAGCGGTGTCTTTCCATCTTTATCTTTCACATTCACGTTGGCTCCAGCTTCGATGAGCAGGGAGGCTGCCTTCTGGTTTCCTGAGACCGCGGAGACTCTCATGAGTGGGGTCCAGCTTGAGCCGGTGTCCACCGCGTCCACCTGTTAGGCCACAGGAAGACTGTCTTAGGCCCTTCACGCGCTCATCAGAAGCTTGTAAGGAAATATTTACTAGCCCGAAGTCCCCTCATTTAAATCTAGGCTTCGTAAGAGTTGGCTGGACTGTGCCATCGAAGTCTCACTTACATGCAGTGAGAAGCTGTGTTAGTCGAAGCCTCACTTACATGCAGTGAGAAGCTGTGTTAGGGTCACTTTAGAGTGGCCGAGGGGCCCCAGGCCTCCCCTCTGGCATCTGCATCCACATTTTGTTCAAATGGAAAAAAGACAAGCTAGAAAAATGAGTTAAACATCATCACCTTACTCTCGGCTCCATGTGAACCCACTACTGCCTGCTGTCAGGCCTGCCTTTCCTCGCCTGCTTTTAAATAAGAGTGTATTTTACTTACTTTGAGATATCTTTTGTTAGCAGCTTCAAATCCTTTATGGAACAATACGGTAGTGTACACACACACCCTTATACTTATCAACACGTCTTAGTTTTAAGCAGGAGATCTACAGGTAAATAAATAGAAAGCAACCGGATCTATTACACGAATTCGGACCTGAAAAGTTAGCCACCTAATGGCTTCTCCAAAACATTGTTTGCCTAGTAGTCAGCTGGCCATTTCCTAAGAATCTGCTCTGCATAGAGATCTCTCCATTCGGTGCTTTAAAAGATGTATTTTAGAATAAGAAAATATGAACGCTGAACGCTCCGATTCCAAGCAGACTGGACACGCCTGCGCACATTCATCCAGTTACAGATGACTTGGTGCCTGCAGCGTCGGTGAAACGTCCGAATGGGACAGCGAGGAGCTGCGGTGGGTCCCTGGGACCCCTCGGGCCGTCTGTGTGTGAGATCACCCACTGCGACACCCTGAGAATTTGCAGTTCTCCGTCATGCAAAGAACTGCCTTTGGGCAGTGAGCTTCCGCGTATTTAAGCAATAATAAAATAATCACTTCCTATTACATGGTGCTTTATGCCGTTTTTCAAGGCACATGGACACGCATTTTCTCCTTCAGTCCTGAGGGTTAAACAGCGGTAGGTGTTTTCATCCCGTTTACGAGTGATTGAACCGAGCCTGAGCACCGTAACACCTTTCCTGAGGGCGTGGCTCACGGAATGCAGAAACGGGTCCCCCGCTTGTCAGTCACTCTCAGTACGAAACGCTTATATTTGAGAAGAGGGGCAGCGACACCCTGTTGGCTCTCAAGCTGTCCCACCATCTTCCGAAGCAACAGGGACCCTCTGCCAAGAACACGTAGGGGCTCGTGCTGACATCATCCGCCTGCCACCTGCCGGCCACACAGAAGTCTTCGGTGGACACAGTCCTGCAGCTCCAGTGCCTCAGAAGATGGGATCTGCCCCAGAGAAGCGTGTTCACCTCTGAAGCCCAGAGAGCCTCCATTTCCCAAACTCCAGTATTTAAATGTTCGTGGCAGAGGCCTGGCCCTGTTTCAGCAAAGATCAACCCTCGTTTTCAGCTACAGATTTTTACTTGGGTCCAAAGCATGGGCAGAGTTCACCCTAAACCCAATAAGCAGAACACGGCCATCTCTACTGCACAAGGCAGGTGGGCCGACCCTACCCCGAGGCCCACGGGCTCATCCTCCTGGCCTTTTGTGCATGTCTCTAAAACAAAGCCAGAAATGTAATAAAAAGGAATTATGTGAATGACACATTTCCCCTGCGAGGGGCCCTTGGCTCAGTCCCCTAAACATGGTGGCAGAAGTCAGTGACTTCCCAGAACTCGAGCCTCGCTTGCCCTCTGTCCCGCCTCGGAGACAATCTAGAACAGATCGACTAATGTCTTCGGGACACGTGACTCTTCTCAGTGTGAGTTTATTTTCCAGGTCATCGGTTTAACTTCTCAATACTCTACACCATCCGGCAGTCATAATTAGGATGGCATTTTTTGCTTCATTCTTTATTTCCATGGCTTGAACTTTTTATTTGACTTCTTGAAGTCTTGAACTAAAGTTTTCAGAATTATCAGCGGTTACCATAATCGAGCTAATTCTACTTACCCATCTTCAGAAGACCAAACTCCACTTGTTTGCTGAACCAAATTGGTACCAAAAGCAGACCAATGTGCCTGCTTCCCAGTAAAGACACGGAGAGCCGAAATCTTCTATTCTTGATACAGTTAGTTTTCTCTTTGGAAGTTTTCCGTAATGACAAACTTTTAAAGCAAACCAAGGATAAAAATAATCTAATTCTAAAAGCAACGAGAAGTATTTTGGCTGCGAGGGTCCCTAACGTGGCGTGTCTCCTGCACCCACGACTCTGGTGCGGGAGCTGCTCAGCAAAGCGCTGTCGAGAGATCGATGGAGAGAGAACCGAGGGAATGAACGAGGCGGGCAGGGCGCGCGAGGATCAGGTCTGGCTCTGGGTTCAGCACTGTTTCTTCCTACAC